TGTATGCGTTTTAGCAGTGTCCTTTCTACATTATAAAGCTAATACCTTATTGTTTCTCTCTGAAAGGACATTTTCCTTTACTTTCATATTCTGTTTTCATTATTGTGAATCAGTTTCAAATGTACCTCTTAACACATTACGTGAATTTATCTCGTGCGGGAAAAGATAAAATTTTGTCTGCATTCGAACAATGGAATGATTGCAAAAAGTAAATAGCAGATATGATAAATTACGTAAGAATATAAGATATTATTATTTCGATTCAATTTAGAAAATTTTTACGAACTTCAACGTTTATGAGTAAATTTCTGATTTGAGTTTGATTTGAGTAAAGTTGAGATAACATAGAGATGAAAGATAATTCTTAAAATTCAGATCTTGATTATGGATCATCCGTCCGCTTTTTGGATAAATACTTTCCGGATTAAATTAGTTATATCCGTACGATAATAAACAATTAATTAACAATTAATTTATATGTATATACATATAATTATGTGTTAATTACAGATATAAGTAATTCTTTTACTTTCTTACCTTTTTTATTGAAAATTTCAATGAGTTTTATGTTATGTTAATGTAAATTTCTAGATACATAAAGTTGCATGACATAAAAGTAAAAATTGATGCTAGTTCTTATGTTGAAATGTATTATGCATTCAATTAATGCGTATAACATTGTTATTTTGTACGTTCAAGCAAGTTTTTCAACAGTAAGCAAAATTAATGTAAAAAATTAATGACGAAGATTTTTTTATTTCATGATAATGACATAAATTCTATTTTAAGATCATAATGTTTGCATTCATTTATTCGTTCGGATCTATTCGTTATTGAGACGCATGACATTGTTTACAAAAAAATTTTTAAATAGTTTTTACATGATCAAAGTTAACGTGTACAAAGTTGTGGTACAATACATATTTTGAGTGTTCAGTCTCAAGTCTCTTTCTTTTTTAATTTTATATCAAAATACATACATGTGAAATTATAATTGCTAGTGTTCAAAAACTAATTAACCTTTTTCGCTTGTACTATAATCAAATATATTTTTACACACATTGTTACACACATTGTTACAAACACACGTGTATTGTTACGGAAATTGCAGTAAAATGTTTTCTTATGCATCTTTATTTATAATTATACAACATATAAGTTGTTGAATTGTACATCCTTTTTCTAGATATATAAAATTCGCTTACAACTTGCATCTCAAAATATGTACAAGTATATAGCTTAAATGTGCAACATAAGTGCACAGAAATATGTGCAATAACTGTGTAATAATACGTTGATACTATCCAAGTGAAACCAAGAAAAATTCGCGTATATTAATAATTATATACTAATAATTAGATTTTTGTTGCATTTGGGATATTTTTATATTTCAGCAGCGAAAAAAATGTTGCAAAATATTATTTTATATGAATATTGTTTAGCATATTTTTTCCTCTTTTAATATTTATTCTTTACGATATTTATTCTTTTAATATTTATTCTTTACCTTTAAATACTTTTAAATATGCAATTCCATCGAAAACCTGATTTTTGTGAACCTAGCACTCTATTTTTTATTAATTAAATTTGTTTTATATTATAAAAAAATGTGATAATATTTCATTTGTAGTTGTTTGCCAATTTTTGAAATATCTCTAATCCGTTTGTGATATCTTCCTTAGAAGTTTGTAATTGTTAGTAGCGATTTGCTGGTCGTTTGTAGTTGCGTCGTTTAAAACACCGAAGGTACGTAATATTGTAAATTTGCGGTAACTTTTAAACGGTGCAACTACAAACGACCGGAAAATCACTACATACAAACAACTACAAACGATTCTGAATTAAGATACATTAAAAATTTTTTTAACCCAAACTCGAGTGATAGTCATTTAAAAAAAAAAATTTTATTATATTTTTGTTATATGAAACTACAAACAAAACTGTTGTTACTTCAAACAATTACAAACGAAATACTATCATTTTTTATAAAAAATTTAATTTATAGAAAGTCGAGGAGTGCCATGTTTACAAAGGTGAAAACCTATGATAAAAATGCATTATGATAATTAAAATCTTTATCTTTTAGATATATTGCCATAACAAACTATACTTAACGTGTTTATTCCGTTTAATATTTATTTAGTTTTTATTTATTTTTTTTCAAAAAATATGATTAAATCTAGATCCATAATGTTCTTAAATGACATAATAAATCGGAATACAATGTATTATTGATAATATTGATAGAGATATAAAAACATCCAAATGATTGTTTATATATAAAAAAAGAGAATTAAAGAAATGCATTTTAATTTAAGAAGTTTTTGAATAAATATTTAAATGCGCTAAATCATCATTGCATAGAACGAAACAAGGTGAGATAAGACAGAGAAGTCTTCACAACCTTTAAGAAATAAAAGTTTTTTCGGTAAACTGCGATTATAACAACAAAAATTAAAATACAATAATGCAGTTATATGGTTACCATGGCAAAATTATCGATGGATAGAATCATTAGTTTACCAGCTGTTATTTTGCAAGGTATTATTGTTCTATACATCATTAGGAGCAGAAGTTTTCGACATCTTTGCGAAGTGTAATACCAATTCGTTCTGCAGCTATTATATGAAATGAGAAAAATTAAAATTAAAATGATTAACGATAAATCTAGCAAGTATTTATAATTTATACTAGATTTCTATCTTGTTATCCAAACATAGAAAGCTACAAAATCTGTTTTTTTATTTGCTTGTGTACATATAAAGGGTCAGTGTAGTAAAATTAGAATTAAAGTAGAATTATTAATATGTGATTATTTGTAGCAATTGTAATATGTCCAAAATATAAAATAAACATACATTTTTATTTAAGTTTTTCTTTAGGGCTTAGAAAAAAGAAAGAAAAAGGAGGTAATTAGACTACCGAATTGAATAAATTTATATTCTTACATAGATTCGTATGGAAGGATGCTGTAATCCAGTAGAAATTGACCTTGCCAGAAATGTAGAAACAAATGAATGAGTTGTCCAAAATACATACTAATAGGTGCAACGATGTCATTCATGTTCTTGTCAAGATTTATCAACATCTAAAATGAATATTTATTATAATTACTGTCCACACTTCTTTCGACTAACGCACTATAACTGTTCGAAATATTGAATCGCGATTATTAAATTAAAGCTAAAAGTGGTATTATTTTTCTCAAATTTGTTTTTGTCTTCGCGAAAATTCTCATTCCATTCCATTCTACCAAAAGTATTTAGAACATAAAGAGGAAAAAACTGATATGTACTTGTATACCATATAAACTGCCAATAATCATGTTAAAGTTAAGATTTATCAGAAATATCTTCGTATACACAGATTCAATATGTTCCGCAAATCTGCGAAATAAGAACACTAAATAATTATAATTAATATGTAAATATCACACAACGGTAGAAATGAGTGCAGAGTTCAATGTGTTCCAAATCTGTGAAATGAGAATACTAAATAATTATAATTAAAGTATCGCACAAGTGGCAAAAATAGGGGTCATTACTATTTCTTCATACGTACTCTATTACACCGAGATGTCTACGTAAACAGTGTAAAGTTTTATAATAATTGTCGTCTTTAATTTTATCTGATTTTGCGTCCAACTGGTCCGTGTCATTTTTTCCAATGTTTTCCAATACATTTCTGTAAAGTCAAGAAAAATATCGATGTTTTTGAAAAACTAAGATTTTATAAGTTGTCGAAGAAATAAACAAATTTATGAAGAGCATTGTTATTTTTTTATAATCAAGAGAGATCATTTTTACCCAATAATGGAGAACATTCCGCAAGCATGTTGAATGAGGGTATAATACAATGCATCAGCCACGACTGTGGCAAACGAATGAGCGACTACGGCCGCATAACTATGCACTGCTATTGGATATATATACTGATTGAATTTCTTGCCGTATTCTACGCGGAAGGGTAATCTCGACTCGAATGGAATGGAAGATTTTGTTATATTAATGATATCATCCGCCATCAGGGTCAGCATGATTGGTTTCACCACGAAAAGACTCGCTGTCGTATGCATTAAAACTAGGGAAAATGATATTCATTGCAAAATCTTAAAATCTTTATACATTGATATGTTTAAAATAAAAAAATCGATTTTGTGATAAGCACATTGTTTATACAATTTTTTCTAAAGTTTAATGACAATGCTGTAAGATTGCAAGGAATATGGTCTAGAATACACACTTACGTATATGTGTGCGTGTAAGATATAATATTTATTTTAGTTTTTTACAATCTTGAAATTATACACACCTGCATAAAATGTCGCCAGATTCTGTCCATACTTACTGTGCCGTTCCAGAATAACCTTTTCTATTGAATTTAATGATTGCCAATCCTTTTGTATTATATTAAGACAAGCCTTTACCTAAACACATGCTCGCGTATTTCTTGCTAATGTAAAATTTTTTCATATAAAAGTCAAGTGTTAATGCAAGTTTGAAAATTTATCACTTACTTTCTCGCTATTTAACATTATAAACAATAGTTTAGAGCTGAATGTTATACTGATGAATATTGGTGGCACACATTCAAACACGTCATCGAGAGTGATCGAGCCGATTAGTAAATAAAGTATCTGTATTAGAGTTAATGCAATCACGAAATAAATTAATTGTAATAAATTAATTTTTTTTTTTAAAGCCTATGTACACATTTATATTAATTTTTTTATAATTTTCCATAAACATTAAAATTTTCTTTTTTCTGATAAATTATATCAAAATTTATTAACACACTATTTTTCTATCTTTCTTTTTCGGATCTTATTAAGTTATACCTTTCAAAAATTTAATAATTTATAATTCGGCATATGTATGCGTAAGCGTATGTGTGTGTAATTTTCATACACTTTGATGAATAACTGTATATCAATATATTAAACTTCTAGTCGTGTAAAAAAAAAAAAAATCATGCAAGTATCTCTACAGCGCAGATGATGATTCTTCTTTGGCAAACTTTTCGATAGATATACCTGAGGTATCAGAATAGTAAAGCTAAACACAAACAACGGTACGAAGCGAATACATCTATCGCGAAGTCTGTGATATGGCCATAATCCTGAAATAGTCAAATAGAATCTAACAACGCTATAATATCGGCTTTGTGCATCGTCTCTGTGATCTTTCTTCTCAATCATTTTTCGGAATAAGAAGATTGCGAAATATCAACTATTCCATTTGTACTTTATTCCATTCAACATTCAATTTTCAACAAGTTACGTAAGATTACTTATTGATTTCTTCCATTTTCTATTCAGCAACAGTATCGTAATTGTGCTGGAGGAATACATATGGACAATTACCTGCTGTGTTTCAATCCTTTTCATTTTACATTTTTAAAGCCGTTAGATATCGTTCTCTTTGAAGAGACATTTTATTTTCATTTCATATTCTGTATACTATAGTTTTCTTAGAAATTTCGTCTTAGAAAAGATGCAACTTTGTACTGCTTTAGAAAGCTGTATATACCTGCGTTAAAGAAAGTAAGCAGAAGTAATAAACGCGTGAAAATATATTATTAGTTTAAAATAATTTAATAGATCTTAATTTCTACAAATTATGATATTTATTTACCTTTAATTTAAATAAAGTTGGCGAATGTAACGTTAATAAAATGTGGATTGTAGAATTCATATATAATTTACGAAGTGTCTGTTTATTTTCACTGTTAATTAGGAAGATAAATTTTCCAAAATACCTGATCGGTTGATTACATATAGTTTACGTCAATAAACAATTAACTTACATACTTATGTAAAGTTACAAAAATTGTTAGAGAAGTGTGGACTTCTTTGACAAACATCTATATGTAACTTCTAGATATTGCGGAAAAAAAATGATAAGTATATTTGTATGGAAGCAAAAGATGATACTTAATTATTGTAATGAAATACATGCGTACGATTATATTAATATGTATATATCTATATTTTGGTTGCTATAAAATCAAAGAAAACTTATATCAGAAATTATAAAGAAAAAAAGAAAAGTACATATAATACATAAAATTTTTATTACATTAAAGAGATGTACTTTAATTTAGACAATTTTGATGATTCATACGCCAAATCACTGGAGAGAACGAAACATAGTGAGATAAGATAGAGACGTTTTTACGACCTTTAAGAAATAAAAAATTCTTTGCTAAGCTACAATTACAATAGTATAATTGTAGAATGAGAACAAAATAACAATTTTATACTTACTGTAGCGAAACTTTCAATAGATAAAATCACTATTTTGCCAGCGGTGATTTTGCATGGTGACGTTGTTCTGTTCATAATTAGAAGAAGAAGTTTTCGACATCTGTGCGAAGTATAATACCAATTCGCCCTGCAGCTATTCAAAATAAGATAAATATGAATTAACATGATAAATACTAAACCTTTATATATTGATAGTAAAACCAAATGTTTGCATAATATTAGATCTTTATTTTGATATTTAACACAGAAAGCTGCAATCTATCTTTTGATTTGTATTTGTAAACTTGATTAAGATGGCTATACGGAAAAGCCATAAGCTTTTAGAATAATTACAAAAATATTCTATTTAGTAAAAATATTCTAATTAGTGGCTAAATTACAGCCCATGGCCATTTTTTTCTGTGTCGCCATAACACCTGAGTAATTGTATGTTACATATGAAGAAATTGCAATCAGAATTAAAATATCTGTAAGTGTGATTATTTATAATAATAATTGTAAATAATACGCCAAATTGTAAATTATACACCAAATTATAAATAATATGCTAAAAATCATACGTTTTGATATAACTATTTTTTGTGATGATTTAAAAAAAAGAATATAAGTATCGATTAAGAAACCGATAATCTTGACTTTGACATATATTGTGATCTTGAGTGACCTTCAACAAGTTTCAACCGTCGCTCGTCCTTCGTTAAAAAGTTATAAACAAAAGATGTTTAAGAAATAAAATCTCATTTCTGTTATACAAGATTAAAATTTTGACTCTCATATCCAACCTTCCTTTCTGCTTGGAGCGCATAACTTTCATCTGAAGCGACTCTCATCCTAATTCCTCCCCCCTACTCCTCCTGCTATGAGCATATGATTTCCATGCAAATCAACTTTCACTCTACCTCCTCTCTGTTTTAAACAGTCAAATTTTTCACATTAAGAACAAATTTTCTGCTAAAGCAGTGTACTTGTGTTCGCGTGGAAAGTCGCGCGCCACTAAACAATAGGGAGAGGTGGATTGCAGAAGGTGGATAGTTTAGAATTATATAATATCAGTTTCTGATGTTATATATAGCCGAAATAGGTCGTTATTTTTTCAAACTTTTTTTGTTAATAACTTTTTAACTTTGTCAAGGTCAAGGTCATTGGAGTTTAGTCGCCTAATCGATATTTTTATCAAAAAAAGGAATAAATCAGAAAAATAAGGTAACTAATTATGAAAGAATCCACCAAATTAACATGCACTTACATAGATTTATATGGAAGGATACTGTAATCAAGTAAAAATTGAGCTTGCCAAAAATGAAGAAATAAATGAAGGAATTGTGCAATATACATAGTTATTGGTCCAGCGATATCTCTTGCGCTTTTATCTAAATTCATTAACACCTAAAATACACGTTTAACTTATTTTCGTATTTATTTCGACAGTCGCAATTTGCAGCGCTTATGAGGATGACTGAAGATTATTTTTCCATAATATTGTTAAAATATGACAAATCCTCGTATGTTTTAAAATTATTTGTAGTATAAAAAAGAAAGATGATACGTACTTGTATACCAGTTAAACTTCCAATGATCATATTTAAGTTAAGATTAATTAGAAATATTTTCGTAAATAACGATTCGATATGTTCAGCAAATCTGTGAAATCAGGACACAATTATATATAAATTAATACATATAGGTATATGTATAAATCAACGATAGAACGTTATGCAGAACGTTATATTTTTAAACATACTCTATCACGAGAGGATGTCTACGCAAACAATGTAAAGTTTTACTGTAATTATTATCTTGTATCTTAGCTCGTTTTGTATAAAAAATATCCTCATTATTTTTGCCAATGTTCTCTAGTGTGTTTCTGTAATATAAGAAATGTCACTGCTTTTGGCAAACCGAGATTTTGAAATTATGAGTCACTGAAAAAATTGATTATAATTCAAGAAAAGCGTTTCTATCTTTTTATGATCAACGGAGACTTTACCCAATAATTGAGAACATTGCGCAAGCATGCTGAATTAAACTATAATACAAGCCATCAACCGCGATTGTGCCGAACGTGTGAGCGAACACGGCAATATAACTATGCAGTGCTATCGGATATATATATTGATTGAATTTCTCGCCGTATTCAACGCGAAATGGTAATCTCAGCACAGAAGATTTTGTCACATTGAAGATGTCATTTGCCATCAGAGTCAGCATGATTGGTTTAAGTACGAAAAGACATCCCGTCATATGCATGAAAACTGGAGAAAATGGTAATCTTAGCAAGATCTTTATACTATTTTATTAATGTGTACAAAAAAATGAATTTTTTTGATAAATGTACTCTTTAAGCAATTTTTTAAAGAAGTAATAAGATAATATTTCGTAAAATCGTGGAAGATTTTATATATGCAAAATATACGCAAGTTATACTATAATCTGTGTTGTACCTGCATAAAATGCTGCTAGATATTGCCCATATCTTGTGTGTCGTTGCAGAATGATCCTTTCTATATCTGTATTTAGTGATAACCAATCCTTTCGTATTATATTAAGACAAATCTTTACCTAAACACATGCTGCCGTATTTCTTACTAATGTAACATTTTTTCATATAAAAGCCAAGTGTTAATGCAAGTTTGAAAATTTATCACTTACTTTCTCGCTATTTAACATTATAAATAATAATTTAGAGCTGATCATTATACTGATGAATATTGATGGCACACATTCAAATACGTCATCGAGAGTTATCGAGCCGATTAGTAAATAAAGTATCTGTATTAGAGTTAAACGCAATCATGAAATAAATTAATCGTTTTTTTTTTAAAAGCCTATGTACACATTTATATTAATTTTTTAATAATTTTCCAAAAGCATTAAAATTTTCTTTCTTCTGATAAATTATATCAAAATTTATTAACAGACTATTTTTCCATTTTTCTTTTTCTGATCTTATTAAAATTATATCTTCCAAAATTTAATAATTTATAATTTGGCATGTATGCGTAAGCGTATGTGTGTGTAATTTTCACATAGTTGATGAATAACTGTATATCAATATGTTAAACTTCTAGTTGTGTAAAAAAAAAAAATCATGGTAT